GGTAAATTTTTATAAATTTTTACTGTTTCAGAGTGGGTATATACCCCCCCCGCTCGACGGCATTTTTGGAGGAAAAAGTGGGCGGAGTTTGGTGGGTTGAGTGGTATCAGAATTAAATACTATAGAGGAATATGGTGGTCGAGGTGTCGAAAAGGGGGTCGTACCAAATCCACCTTGGGGGAGGGGGGTCGTAAAAATTTTTGAAAAAGTAACAACGATAGGACTGACCCTGCTTCCAACTCCTGTGATCCACCGCAGGTTTCGCGCAAATCGCTGAAATCAGCGAAACCTGCGAGGGATCGCGAACTCTGACACCAGCCTAGCACTCAGTCCTCATAAAACCATCCGCAGACAAAATGGGTCCTGAAGTCGTTACGCCTACTTTGATCACACAGCCAATAAATTTTGAGACACTGACGTGACTTCCCCTAGGAATTTATAGTCCTTTATTAGTGAAATCCGAAACTTGGGAAAGATCTGACACGATGTGCATTGCAAGCTGTTAAAGGTTTTTTAGTGGATGTTGCTTATTTAGGCCGGCAACATAGTAAAACAGTGGTGGCTCTTAACAACAAGCGACAAGCGTCCAGCCCCCGATCCGGATAGGTTGATAAAAGTGAAGCAGGTAGATATCTACTTTATGCTACTTTTTATGTGTCCTCTCCAATCTGCGATCATAGTGCTTTTTTAAAAATCTTATCTCGCCTCCTTCAATCGCAGCTTTCGCCATTTCTTTTATGATTGAATTGCCGTGACTCCATCTGATGTTCTCAAGTTCTCATTTGCTTTAGTGCGTTGTGCTTGATGCCATCTAGGGTGATTTTGATTAAAAGTCTGCGGATGCCTGTGACTGAGACCAATACATACTTACACACCGCCTACAGGGTAGGACACATTATGGTAACCAAGACATGTCGCTAACATAGCCTAATGAAACAAGTCTACCTAAAAACGATGTTGTCCACTAGCATTACAGAGTAAAACTGGGTTGGGTTTGAAATCTGTTAATATTGCATTGATACAGGCCTACGAATAAGTGGGATACTTACACTGTGCCACGCAGGTAAGACCGTCAAAGAGCACATGTTTTTGTTGTGCTCTCTTCGAGGACTCTGTTTTTCGAGGTTTTAGATTGCTCTTGAATGTAGGCTTACCATGCAGAAACTCAGCCGAGGTCGTTGGGAGAGTCCTAGATAACAGATGTTAGAAGAATACGAACACGAAAAAAGCTTTTTTTTTTGCAGGATTTCCGAAGTGGCTTTGCACATCATTTTTTTCAATTTCGCGGTACGAAAGTCGCAAGCAGGAGAACGAATTTCTGCATTTGATATTTGTCCTGGTAGTAGCTGTATCCTTCGAATCTCCTTTCCGTCTTAGGTGGTTCCTAAGGCCCTGTTCAGAGATGTCCGCCGGCGCG